TATCTCAAAGGTTTTGTGAAAATTTTTGTTATACACGATCCGCCCTTCCTCGCACCACCACGCTTCCGCAGCCGGATTCGATCTAGAGACCAACAGATATGCCCTAGCTCCCCACAATGGTGGCACTTGAAGCTATAGGGTCTACTCTTCCCACTTCCCGAAGAGCCACTGCTACCACTAGGCACTCCCCCACTACCTTGCCCCTGATCACGGCTTTTTCGGTTACTCCTTTGAGGTCCTCCTGAAGTTCTTCCTGAAGCTTCTCGATCCTGGAGAAAGGCGATGTGCTCTTGTTCAACAGAGATGGCTGCTGCAACCAAGTCACTATAGACTCGATGCCTTAAAGCTACCACTGATTTTTGGATCACACCCTTAAGACCTTTTTCAAACTTTAGGCACTTCATGCGCTCTGATTCAATCAAGGAGGGAGCAAAACGGGACAGTTCATTGAACCTAGCTTCGTATTCCCTCACTGTCATTTCCCCTTGCTGTAGGCCCATGAATTCCATGGCCTTTTCATCTCGATAACTTTGAGGAAAGAATTGCTCAAGAGCACTTTGAATTGTTCTCAAGTCATCCCCTCTACATCTTGCATTCGCCGAATATGCTTCCACCATGCACCTGCAGGACCTTCAAACTTAAAAGCTGCGAACTCCACCCAATACTCATCCGGTACTCCCATGGTACTTAGATGCTTAGACACCGATTCGAACCAATACTCAGCTTCCTCGGCTCCACCTGCGCTAGTGAATGCAGGAATTGAACTACGCCTGTACTCAGGGAAGTAGTTCTGTTTTCTGTCCTCCGCGGGACGTTCATTTTGGGCTCTAGTAGCCATTCCCTTAGAGGCGGCGTACATGGTTTCCATGAATTGGTCATTCGGCATCACCGGTGGGTTAAGGTTTCTACGACGCGGTGGCATTCTTTTATCTGAAAAGAAAGCTAGACTATTTTAGTGGTTTCCTGATGTCATTCATGTATGCATAATTCCAAACCCTAAGGTTCTAAACCAAGGGCTCTGATACCAAGTCCTGTCACGCCCCCAAACCGGGGTTAGTGACGTAGAGGCTCGTTTAGAAACATCCAGGTATTTCCAAATGAGCCCCCTTTTTTTTTGTTCAGGAGAGATTCAATTTCAAGAACAGTGGTGGAATTTCCAACCAAACCAGTTTAAAACCACATCCCTGGTATCATGTCAGGAATTCCCACAGGTGTTTAGCATACATGAATATAAACAAGAGTAAATGTGACATCAACCACAGTCTAATAATATTTAAGTTTACAATCCATAATCTTTTATACATGCCTTAAAATAAAAGAAAGATAAGAGGAAAGATAACTCTTCACTTTCTGATGTCAAGTCCACGTCACCGGTAGTAGCTACCTACTCCGCACTACTCCTCGCGTCGCCTGGAGGGGTTTAATACATTTGAAAACAAGAAAGGTGAGCGAAAGGCCCAGTAGGATATAATTTTATAAAGCATTTAAAATAAATGTACTCACAGTCCGAAAATATACACCCGGAACCGATCATCCCTTTTTAGAAAAAGAAATACTCACAATAGAAAATATCTGTATAATGAAAGTGTGCAGCTCATCATACCACTAAACAAGAAGGGTAAAAAATGTCTATCTATGAAAAGTGTAGAGCCATAATTCCACTAAACAAGAAGTGGATCC